TGCCCCATTGTGCCTCACTGTGTCCCCATTCTCCCCATTGTTCCCTGTAGTCCCCATTGTCCCCCACTGACCCCCACTGTCCCACTGTCCCCATTGTCCCACTGTCCCCCATTGTCCCACTGTCCCCTGCCCCCGTTGCGCCCCCCCGTGAGCGCTGGGTGCTGTGGGTGCTGGGCGCCGCCTGCTGGCTGCTGTTCCATCGCTTCACATTTGGCCCGTTGGTTCCCATTGGTTCCCGTTGGTTCCTTCTGATTGGTTCCCACTGGTTCCTTCGGATTGGTTCCCACTGGTTCCTCCTGATTCCCATTGGTTCCCGTTGGTTCCTTCTGATTGGTTCCCACTGGTTCCTTCTGGTTCCCATTGGTTCCCGTTGGTTCCTCCTGATTCCCATTGGTTCCCGTTAGTTCCTTCTGATTGGTTCCCACTGGTTCCTTCTGATTCCCATTGGTTCCCACTGGTTCCTTCTGGTTCCCATTGGTTCCCGTTGGTTCCTTCTGATTGGTTCCCGCTGGTTCCTTCTGATTCCCATTGGTTCCCACTGGTTCCTCCTGATTCCCATTGGTTCCCACTGGTTCCTTCTGATTCCCACTGGTTCCCATTGCTGCCCATTGCTTCCATTGGTTCCCATGGGTTCCTATTGGTTCCCACTTGTTCCCATTGGTTCCCATTGGTTCCCATTGCTGCCCATTGGTCCCCATTGGTCCCCATTGGTTCCCATTGCTGCCTACTGGTTCCCATTGGTTCCCATGGGTTCCCATTGATTCCCATTCCTTCCATTGGTTCCCATGGGTTCCCATTGGTTCCCATTGCTTCCATTGGTTCCATTGGTTCCCACTGGTTCCCATTGTTGCCCATTGGTTCCCATTGCTTCCATTGGTTCCCATGGGTTCCCATTGTTGCCCATTGTTTCCCATTGGTTCCCATTGCTGCCTACTGGTCCCCATTGGTCCCCATTGGTTCCCATTGCTGCCTACTGGTTCCCATGGGTTCCCATTGGTTCCCATTGCTCTCTACTGGTTCCCATTGGTTCCCATTGCTCTCTACTGGTTCCCATTGGTTCCCATTGGTCCACATTGCTCCCCACTGATTCCCATTCATTCCATTGGTCCCCACTGGTTCCCATTGCTGCCTACTGGTCCCCATTCGTCCCCATTGGTCCCCATGCGTTCCCATTGGTTCCCACTGGTTCCCATGGTTTCCCATTGGTTCCCATTGCTGCCTACTGGTTCCCATTGGTTCCCACTGGTTCCCATTGGTTCCCATTGCTTCCATTGGCTCCCACTGGTTCCCATTGCTTCCTACTGGCTCCCACTGGTCCCCATTGGTCCCCATTGGTTCCCATTGCTTCCCATTGCTGCCTACTGGTTCCCATTGGTCCCCACAGGTTCCCATTGGTTCCCACTGGTCCCCATTGGTTCCCATTGGTTCCCACGTCTTCCCCCCGGTTCCCATTGCTCCCGCAGGTTCTGCCATGCGCTGGCCGCGCTCAGCTCATCTCCCCACGCTGCTGCTGGTGCTGTTGGCTCTTCTGCTTCTGTGGCAGCACCGCAACCCCGACCCCTCCAGCACCTCCATCACCCCCAGCACCCCCAGCACCCCCAACACCCCCAGCACCTCCATCACCACCGCTGCCTTCCGGTGGCTCCCAGCCACGCGTCACCCCCTGCAGCCGCCGTACCCGGGGCCGTACCGCTTCCTCCTCAACGAGCCCCACAAGTGCCGCAGCTCCCGGCCTCCGTTCCTGGTTCTTCTGGTGGCCTCTCAGCCGTGGGACGTGGAGGGCCGCGCCGCCATCCGCCGCACGTGGGGCTCGGAGCTGTCGGTGCCCGGCGTCCCGGTGGTTCGGTTGTTCCTCACCGGCGTCCATCCGGTGTTCGGCGCCGAGTTGGGCCGGCTGTTGGCGGAGGAAAGCTCCGTCCACCGCGACATCCTACAGCAGGACTTCGTGGACACGTACCACAACCTGACCCTAAAAACCCTGATGGGGCTGCAGTGGGTGTCCCGGCACTGCCGCGCCGCCAGCTACGTGCTGAAGGCCGACACCGACGTCTTCCTCAACCTGGCTTTCCTGGTGCACCGCATCCTTCGGCCCCGCCGCCCACCGCGCCGGCGCTTCGCCCTCGGTTACGTCTACCGCGGCACCGGGCCGCTGCGGGACCCCAGATACAAATGGTTCGTGCCCCCCCAGGTTTACCCCCACCCCACGTACCCCCCGTATTGCGCCGGTCCCGCTTACGTCCTATCCGGCGACGTCGCCGTCGCGGCGTTCGGCGCGGCGCAGGTTCTGCCATTGTTCAACATGGAGGACGCCTTCGTGGGGGTCTGCCTGAAGTTTTTGGGGGTGGCGGTGACCGACGGCCCCCCCGGCACTTTCAATATGGGGCGGCTGCCCTACGAGCGCTGCCGCTTCAGCCGCGCCGTCATGGTTCACCGCTACGAGCCGCGGGAGGTGCTGAGGATCTGGCCCGACTTCAAGGCTGATAACGGGACGTGTCCGCCATGGGGGGGGTGGGAC